AAAGGATCGTTGAGGCCTATAGGGTTGTGAGACGTCGAGGCTCCCACATTTTCTCCAGATAATTGGCTCACAGATGGCGGTTAGGTTGTCAGCCTTACGCGCCGGTCGCCCTTTACGTCCCAGGAAGATTCCTGGTACTCATTTCTTTTAGAGGCTGAGTCGAACACAGGACCATAATCCGGCTGGAAAGATTAGTTCAATTGAAAAAAATCCACCTCATAGGGATTCGAGCCAGCGACCTTCCGGCTTGTAGCAGTGCCTTAACCAACTACGCTACCGCGTGTCCCCATAAATCCATTATATAACTTTAAAATAGAACGGAATAGATAATAAAACCCCCTGTGGATGCAGGTGACAATAGCTTCGTTGCAGCCCTGCAAAACCCAGAAGTTAACGAAAAGGGAACCTGGTGCCTGGGGTTATAACTGGGCCACACTGTCACAGGAGGACATAATTACAGAGACCTGGTCCACCAGGTTGGGAGTTAGACGCAAGGCTGGCGACCTTGCTCTGTAAAATTAATATTGTTGTGAAATCCAAAGAAATGAAAACCGGATGAAATCCGGCAAAATTTTCCAAGGAAGGCTTTGGCTCAAAAATGACGGTTTTGTCAGTGATGGTGCTGATGATAAACAATATCATAACAATTGACAATCGTGGTTTCACAATCTCCCCAAACCCTTCGCTTGACACCCAAGCCAGGCCGTGAATATCACTTGAAGTACCAAGCGTTACTGTTGGCGTCACTCGAATCACAAGTTAAGAGGTTAGTAACTTTGCTCGGAAGTGAAACTGGCTTAAACCTTGCTCCAGGCGTACTTTGGAAACGACAACATTAGAACGTGACAAGGAATTCGGACTCCTTTATTTAGACTTCCCGCGTAACAGCACCAAGAGTCCTCACTTAAGCTAGTGTCTTACTTCAAATGCACGCCGCGTTGTCCCTGTTATCTAAGTTTTCCATTAAATTAAGCTATTAACGATTCTCCATAAATTATATCGAAAAACATGCAAGTCTTGTCTGTTTTTCTGTGACGGGATGTATAAAACTAAGTCATAACAGTGGCCGCGCCATTGCTCAAACGCTTAGTCGCTGGCTTCCCACCGCGGCGGCCCGGATTCAAACCTGGGTCTGGTCAAGTGGGATTTGTGGTGGACAAAGTGGCGCTGGGGTAGATTTTCCCCGCGTACTTCGGTTTCCCCTGCCAATCTTCATTCCACCAAATTGTCCATCATCATAATCACCCGGGGCAGGTACAAAATAGGCCAATCAGTGGCGGCCGTGCCGAGTGGACCCGGCTGGACTCCACCCCCCACTATGCGAATTTTTAAAAATTTTAAATTATAGCCGTCATTGGACAATATCATGAGCCAGTTCTATCCAACATATACACACACTGCCTCTCCCTATCTTTCAATCTCCCGTCATCCAAGTCACCGTTATTCAGGGGCTTCTCCATCAAAATTCATTATGCACTCTTTATCGCCTTCATACAAGCTACATGTCCATCCTATCAGAGGCTCCTAGATTTCACTGTCCGGCTGTCTAGAAAATTTGGGACCCTCGACGTCTCACAAACGTATGACCCTCCACGGCCTCTTAGAAGGATAGCTCTACCTTTCTTTCTTTTTTATTGCTAGTGGGGTGGGACTAAGTTCCTTGTCCTGCGGCCACATCTGGCCTATTGTACCAGCCCCAGATGATAGGTGAGGGTGATTGTGGAGCAATTGGTGGAATGAAGATTGGCAGGGGAAACCGAAGTACTCGGAGAAAACCTGCCCCAGAGCCACTTTGTCCACCACAATTCCCACTTGACCAGACCCGGGATCGAACCCGGGCCTCCGCGGTGGAAAGCCAGCGACTAACCGCTTGAGCTATGGTGCGGCCTCTACCTTTCTTACCTTATCCCTTATCAACAAAATTCCCATTATACAGAGTCTCAGATTGCGCTGTTCTGTCAATATGGGCTGAACTATATGAATCAAGTTTTTAGTCACGTAACATCCTTAAGTGACAGCTTACGTCATTAGCCGTAGGTCCAAATATGTAACTGAGCACTTTTATATATTGACATGTCATCATGGAAATCTACCTGCAGTTCCATTTGCTTTTATTCTATTGGCTTATAGCGGGCACCTTTCATTCGCCCCAAAATCTCAGAGCCCTGCCAGCCCTTGATCTCGTTGGGGTCTTTCGAAGAGCCTTGACAATAATTTTAGAGCCTCAGTCATCGTGGCTGAGGCTTTCCTTATATCTGTCAGCTCTAATCATACAGAGCTGATGATCTCAGCCCCATGCCTGGCCAAAATTGGGCATTAAAGAAGTTCGTGTTAGGAAGAGTCCTCTTCCTTCAAGTGGCGTCTTTCGAGAGACCCCTAACAAGTAGAGCTATCTAAGTGTACAGTGGCCAGCCAACATTCCCTGTTACCACCCCTTGTTTTTCTTATTCAAATCCTGTAGATAATTTGTTAACTCACAGTCATACATCGTACAGTTTCGAACCACTGCACTGTGGATGCCTGTCAGACTATCCGCAACTGCCCCGGCAAATTTGCACGGATGTGGCGGTCCGTGTTGAGACGTGTCGAGGCGTGCATTGAATCTCATGGAGGACATTTTGTTATGGACTTTTTGTTTGTTTCAGAATGTGTAACTCGTACCCAAAATCTGTCCGCATCTTTCAGTTACATCTTGTATAACTCTGAAAACCTGGATACTATTCTAAAACTTCGGAGATTTATTTGGTTGTGAAGCTGCTTATTACAAGGAACAGATTAATTTCATTTAGTGGTCATGAGAATTTCAGATTATTTCATTCATGAAATTTTCTGAGGTTAAATATTTAAGATAAACAAATGAACTGATGAATGAATAGAAGAATGGATAGATTGTTACCTACAAGTGTCTGTCCTTCCCACACATGCAGTTCATTCTACTTCATGGCAGTGGCTTTCAGCATCAACTCGCTGTGTACAAATCTCTTCATTGTTACTCACGTCAAACTTTCGTTAACTTTGACGTTATCGGAATGGGTGACCAAGCATATCAGGTGACTTAGCGACGGCACTCTTTCTCAGATTAATTAATATCATGTCAAGTTACCAAAGAGCATTAGCAGCTTCTGTATCAACATGATTGATAAAGCAAGTCACGTGTCTAAAGTACATTACTGCTTTCCTATCACTGGAACACACTCGTGGAATGAGGCCAGCATCGTGTAGTTCATGTAAATGCTAGTCTACATCTGGAAGCAGTTTTGGTTCCTCTTAGTAAACAATGAAAAGCGTTAGGATTGCCCAGTCGGTAGAGTGATGGACTGGGGACTAGGCGCCCGGGGTTCGATTCCTGGTAGGATCAAGTTTTCCTCCTTTCCACAACGTTCAGATGGGCTTTGGGGACCACCCAGCTTCCTGTCCTATGGGAACCCAAGGCTCTTTCCCCAGGGGTGAAGAGGTCGGGGCGTCAAGCTGACTATCCACCTGTATCTATTGGCCAGGTGGAACTATACCTGCGCTTCCCCACACACTTAACTAATTAAGCACAGAGACAACTTTACCTTTTCCATAAAGAATGAAAATGCAAGGCTTGGCTTAGCAATGATGTCTTTACATTGGTGATGAGTGTAATAAAGTGCGCCTCTTACATCTCAGTGTTTTGTTTACTAGATTAAAATCGCGTATGATTTGATGCAGTATTCACCAACTTGAGGCCCAGAGATCACCAATATACTGCAAGTCACTAAGTTGGAACCATAAAAAAGCTGAGTGACGATTTGTCTCGCAGAGAGAGAGAGAGCTGTAATCACTGCGATATTGCGAGATTATTTGAAACACAATTTATATTTCGTTGTGACGCTAGGAATATCGTGCAACCGACTGTGTTATTGACTGTCATAAAATATTTTATTGTATTTATATTATTTATTGTCGTTGATGTATTTAATTTAAATTTACTCTCACTAATAATTCGTTTCACTGTCCTGAGCTCAATTCATGCTTCAAAAGCGCGAATTTGTAACTTAATATACTCTCGAAGAGGAAGTGGGAGGAACAGAGGAACTGAACATTTGTTGGTCATGAAGTACGCAAAGGGTGGCAAGAAACGAATATATGATTTTGTAGGGGAAATATTATTGAAAGAGGTCATTTTGGAGAAGGGTCATTTTAGAGGAAAATTATAAAATTTAATGCAATTAATTCCCTCTCTTTTCCTGTTGGTTGTCACGGGAATTTTGTGTTTAGCAACTTTTTTGCCTGGCAACGACACGTTCGCTGCTATTCGTTATAACAGAAACTAGTCTTTGTTAATATTCCTTGCAGCGGAAACGTGATTACCGAGCTGTTGCTCAGCAATTTACGTCTTCTCCGGCTCCACCATTTCGGCTTTCAGCCGCCATGTCACTATACGTTTACTTAAATGATCAAATTCAACTGTCCTTATTTTCATCATCCTCATCATCCTCACTGACAAGACAGCTCTTTTTGAGCCATAGCCTCTCTTAGAAATTTCTGCCAAATTTGTCTTGAATTAACCCACCCGATTTTCTCTTCTCTGGATTTCGCAACAGTAATTGTATTACAGAGCAAGGTCGTCAGCCTTGCGTCCTGCACCCCAAACTGGACGGCCAGGTCTCTGTATTTGTGTTCCCTACTGACTGCTTGACCTAGTTTACCCCCAAGCTTAGGGTCCCCTTTTCGTCACTTTCTACGACTCACAGGGATACGGTGGAGGTATTCTATCCAGCCTCCACACAAGTTATCCTTATTTAGTCCTAAAGGTGTCCTTTTGAATTTACTGGTTTGAATTGCGACATACTGTAACAAAAACATTCCTAAACGATTCCTGTCACAAGACGACCAGGAAACTTGGAAAGGCAGGAATTCTAATTGTGTTATATCACTAATTTTGCAGGCGTCATTGTTCGAAGTAATTGTGAGAAAATGAGTGCCTGCTTATAAAGGCCAGCATGGTTGGGGGGAAGGCTCAGTGATAATGCCGTCAAGGTGTAACTCGGAGTAAAAATTTCATAGTGCAGTTTCATTTAATTGTTTTGTGTATTTGCGTTGGTGTCACCACTTCAGTGGGGATACAGTACGAGGCATCTCACGTCGTCACAACTTTAACAAGTAAATATCTTAGTCTTGAAGAGATTCTAACAATGGTGTAAGATGTACAGAACTATTAGGCTTATTTTGGACTCTATCCATCCTCTGTTATATAAAAGACAAAAAAACCACAACGTTTCGGAGGCTGGATCTGTCTCCGTCCTCAGGTGGATGTGGCAGGCTAAACGTACTCAGTTGGGCCCGTCCAGTGATTGAGACTAGCTCCTTCTAACGGGCTCAACT